ATGAATTACAGCTTTTTGCCAAGTTTATTCAAGAGTTAGAAATGTCTCAAAGTTTAATTTGAATTCTTTAAACAGAAAATTTATAAGGAGCATCATCGTAAATTTCCAGTTTTCTAGCTCCAGTGGTTTCTGCAACCGCTTCCTTCCAGGCAAATCTTTAGAAGTTTCATACGTAAGCAATAAGAGAACGTGGAAGTTCATTCTGCGTCCGAGGGTTCAACTACAGCGATGAACCAAGTCACTAAAATTTCCGCTTCATAGTTTCTACAGTTTTGGGAATCAAAACATGCGGGGACACACACACATACACACACACGCACATACACACACACACACATACACACACACACACACAGCCTCTCTACAATATCCGCATTTGCATTTCAACAGTGCCGCAAAAATGAATGAAAAAATTAGGAGTGAAGGGAGTTTTAAAAAAATTTTTATTATACAAAACGCAGTTGGCAGAAGAGTGAAACAACGGCACATATTCTCAATAAGTGGCAGTAGTGTTTAGATCAGAAACACTGGAACGAGTTAACTATTTAAGCTGGGATGATCTGTTTGCTTGTAAACAAAAAGCTGTGGATTAAAAAAAAAGAAAATGATGCATTTTCTAATGAACATAAACTCAACTTAACCCCATGAATGGACACCCTGTTCATTAATTTTTATGAGAAAACGGAAACAGAAACAGTCCAATCAGATGTTTTTTAGGTGAAAACAAAAATAAGTAAAAAAAAAAGAATCTCACATGCACTCCAGCGCCAAATTCGCCTGTATGATAGTTGTCGTCTACTTTGTCCGATGAAAACGTTTTGTTCTGATAATCACAAAGATCCATCATGAAATCTTCGGGCCCACAGCGATCAAACAACTGCAAGTTCATTCATTCAACATAAAACCAGTTCACCTAGTTATCAGTCAAAGTGAATGCAAAACGAACTTGTCTGATCAACGATGACGCACTTCGGCGTGTGTACGGATTGAAGTAGCTGACGAACGCGGTAATAAGTGTTATGATGAGCACCTCTTTTACCGGATTATTTCCCAACGTTTTGTTCGCTTTGCGAAAGCGGCACCACTTGATATTGGCCCTGTGATATAACAATAAATTCATGATATTCTTAAAATTCATGATATTCTTAAAATTTACGATATTCAGTAAATTCATGATATTCTTCAGTAAATTCATGATATTCCGTAAATTCATGATATTCTTAAAAAAAAAAAAAAAAAGAAATCTCGCCGCTGCCTCATCCCGGTCTTTTTCGAGCAACATTGTTTTTCCTCTCGGAAATCTGATCGACTAAGAGAACTAAGAAAAGGCTCAGTAAGAACTTTGCCTGCTTGTTTGGTGGGATCGAGCAGAAGAGTAGTGAAGAAAGCAGTGATTTGAACGACAGCCAGTGTGTGAGTGAGATGCTTTGCAGTCGTGACTACAAGTTGCAGGTGGTATTGCACCTTCGATTAGCTCTCGTTTTATCCAAGTACATATCCTTGCTTTCCTCAGCGCAGCTAGCAATCCTTTCATGGCTAGTCTGTTCAAAAGCTGTATCATCTTGAACTCAGCCTGCTGTTGATTCTAGTGGTTGTTCCCCCTCAACCTCCCTTCTTTTCACAAGGTGGAAGAAGTGCCAGATCGCATTTCTTGCCATGTTTGCATTTCATCTCATTCATCAACAATCCCTAATAAAGGTTAAAAAGAGAATACAGGAAAAGAAAAAAAAAAAAAACAATGAAAAGGAAAAAAGGATATTAAGATAGGTAAGGGGTATATTAAAAAATATTTGTTACAGGTAAGAAATGTTTCGGTCCATTAAGTCGTATACATTTCTTAACGTTACCACAATTGGACCTCGTCAGTACGACGATTGTGATAACACAATAATTTAGGAAAGTATATAAATTAATTAAGATAAAAACATCTAATTCAGAAGAAATCAAAGTAACGGTAGGGGAAAAGGAAAATATGGGGAAAAAAGGAAAGTATAAAAGTATGTAATTTCGCCCAGAAGAATGAAGTGCAACAAAATACTGCAAATATAGGAGCTTCCAAATGCCATGTTGCGGTGCTTGAAAATCAAGATAAATGCAGTAGCTCTTACTTTCGCCGCCCCTTACAGCACAAGAGACATTGCTTTTCTAAACACTGATGAAAGCAAAGATGTGAATGGGCTCACCAGATGAACACACTTCCAATGATACCTCCGAACAGTCCGAGACCAGCAAACGGTATGAGCTCGATGAATGTCCATTTCATGCTATAGTCAACGTGGAACAAAGATGTCTGAAATTTCACACAATCACATTTCAGGAACTGAATTGTGCAAGAAAAAAAAAGGAGAGAGCTTCGGAAAAGGCTT